GTTTTTGGCGTTTAATATTCGCATAGAGAATCAATATTTCATCACCGGTGACAATTCTGTCCAAAAATGGTTCATGCGCATCACGCGCCTGAAGAGACGAAGCAACGTTCATACGTTGGAAACGATGATCATCGGAGAGTTCGTAAGGTACCCAAACACCTGAACCATCGTTGACACTTACGAACGTTCAAAACATTTCCATAAATATCTTTGATATTCTTTGTGGCTACAGAGGCATTGGTTCCCTTCTTGTATTCAAACAGTATTACATGCCGAATGTGTGTTTCGTCGTGTGCCATCACTATAAGGGATTAAAGTATACTAAACTTAACACATTATATAGGCTAGACTAACGTGACGTTTAGGAGGTTCGTTTAACTATTATACGTGGTGTACATTTTTTGGGGGTGGTTAATGAAAGTGTTCCAAAACGCGACATTAATTTCTTGATGACCTAATATTTACAAGCTTTCGGCTTCGCTACTCGACCCTTTGTCGGGTACACCTGTCAGTACGTAAAATCTTACCCGATGGAGGCCCCATAATTCTATTTAATGTTAACATGAAAGTTCTTGAATATTTTTTTTTCCTGTCTTCTAAACAGTTACAAACGCGGTTGATACGACAGAAGCGATCCAAAACATTATCTATTTGATTTATATTAACACTTGTTAAAGTATTCTGATTAGCAGTGCCTAAAAACATAGAGGTTATTGACACAAGAATAATTAACCAAATTAACTAAAAATGAAGTTGAGAAGTGGTTCATTAATAAGAAGGGGGTTATTGTGGGTGCATAAGTTAAACATGTTCATTGTTCCCTTGGTTATAGACTCTTATCGAAACATACATTTTGCAAAGACGTTCCAGAGACTTAAGGCCTTGTTCTACGTTTTCATCTCTGAGAACATTAGTGGATTTAGATATCCAACCGCCTGGAGATCTCACCCGTTAACATGTTTTAATCATTTACATTTTAGATACAAGCGTTTTAGAAAATATTTGAAATCCTCAAATTATTACGAATTCAATCTGTTACATATTACAATTTTGAATGGTCTGAAACCGAGCTAAATGACAATTTAGATTCAATAGTTAAATAAATGCCGATATGTATCAATTTATGATATTTGCCAACAAGATTGATACACTCAGTTTTTCTTTTTTAATACAAATATATTTTAATATTCAACCAATAATACAATTTACAACATCAGTTATTACAAATAGTTATTACAAACAATGATTTATATACAAAAGTTTTACAAACTTACAAGATAAAGTCTTTTTTCTAATCTGGAACTTCCTTGATATCTTATCGAGGGTTCACGATGAACGAGTTAATTTCCAGTTGACGTAGGTACAATTCACTTAATAGGGAGCTAACTAGCTATGTAGTACTCGCTGATCACTCGCCGATTACAGGTCGGGTTTCTTTTACTACTGAAGTTATGAATAATATTTTCTTAAAAGTACTAATGTCCGATGTG